GTATATAAGAATGTGACTCTGCAGGTTCCAGTGGGACTGACTATACATACCTCTTTAGTATGTTATGTGACTCTGCTCATTACAATCCTGTGCTCCACTTTGATCCTTGTAACAGTTTTCAAATATGGCCATTTTTCCCTATAAGTTTTATGTAGTTAAATGCTTCCTAGAAACCTAAATAAGATCTATTAAATTCTGATAAGAGGTGTTCTTCTAGAATTGAGCTAGTAACTTTTATCATTTGTCTTCATTTGTGGCCAAAATTATGTTTACTAGAGGAAATCTGGGATCATTCTCAGCTAATTCCAAAACTTAGTGCTCTATTGCATAGATCCTTGGTAATCCTCAAGCATCAAATGCCGTTAAGAGAAAACTTAATTCTGCTAAATTGATGTTTATTTTGTGAGAAGTGACTTTATCTTCATTTGGGATAGAAAAATTATTTCTTTATGTAGTAGAGACAAATTATTCTCATTTTGTGAATACTTTCCATGTAAGCTACAAATTGTGAAAACCGTACAAATAAGAATAAAATAGGCCAGGCACAGTGGCTCACACCTTTAATCCCAGCACTTTGGGAGGCCGAGGTGGGTGGATCACCTGAGGACTAGAGTTCTAGATCAGCTTGGTGAAACCCCATCTCTACTAAAAACACAAAAATTAGCTGGGCGTGGTGGTGGGTACCTTTAGTCCTAGCTAATTGGGAGGGAGATGTGGGAGAATCGCGTGCACCTGGGAGGCAGAGGTTCCAGAGAGCCAAGATTGCACTACCATACTCCAGTTTGGGAGACAGAGTGAGACCCTATCTCCAAAGGAAAAAGAAAAGAATAAAATCACTTGGAATGAAAATCACGTTTATTTAAATATTAATGCCATGAGAATATTAAAGACATTTGCCAGAGTTTCAACAAAAATCATTAAAGTAGGACAGCTAAGAAATTATTAATGCTAATATCAAAATTATTGATAATCCTAATCTTAAATTGTTGATTATTCCTTAATGCACTCCATTCTCCTTTTACATTTTATAATGTTTATTTTAAATGTATGAATTGGCAAATGGCTTGATGAAACTAAGTACTTGATGAAACTGAGTACTAAGATTTAGTACAGTGTGTGTCAAGAAGAGAACTCAGATTGCCATATTAAAGTTGTACATGAACAATAATTGGAATCATCAGGTAATTTTTTAAAACAAAGGTTCTTAATTTACTGTATGCTTGGGAAAAAATTAGAAAATAAAGTAAGTGCCATAGGCTAATTAAAAAATAAATCTTTAGAGCAAGCATGTTCCAGAAGAGAAGCCATCAAACCAGGGTATGTTGGCATTATTTGTTTATTGAGATGTGATAAACCTTTATACATGCTATTGCTGCTCAATTTTCTGAAACATTTTGGTGTTTTCATGGGACCATATCTTGTATAATTTGACATGTGTGACTTGACTAGTCATAACAGTTCTTTTTAAAGGTGTATTTGAGACTTAAATATTGGAAAAGGCAACCCAGTGCCATAAAGCAGAAATAGTGACCTTTAAAATGACTAAAATTTCAACCCAGTAGAGTTTCATGCCTATTTCATGCTATCTCATAAGAAAGAATTTCATGTTTTAGAAACATTTCTTTCACTATGGGATTAATAATGTGACACTGAAATGGAATGTTAAAATTCACTAACATTGACAGGCAACATTTTGGCATATGGTTAGACAGGTAGGGGAACATGGTACTGTTTAACATCTTAAGAGTATGGGCCAGGCGCGGTGGCTCATGCCTATAATCCCAGCACTTTGGGAGGCCAAGACGGGCGGAAGACGAGGTCAAGAGATCGAGACCATCCTGGCCAACACAGTGAAACCCCGTCTCTACTAAAATATAAAAAAAATTAGCTGGGCGTGGTGGCGCATATCTGTAGCCCCAGCTACTCAGGAGGCTGAGGTGGGAGAATTGCTTGAACCCGGGAGGCAAAGGTTGCAGTGAGCTTCTGCACTCTAGCCTGGTGCCTGGCAACAGAGCAAAACTGTGTCTAAAAAAAAAAACAAAACAAAAAAAAAAAAACAGTATGTGAGGCATGTGTATATAGAATGTTTTTATTTTTGCTCACCACAACCAGGTTTCATCAGTATTTAAAATAAGATTGTGGCTTGGAATGTGGTTCAGCCATTTACTCATTTATACAAATATTCAGAAGTGTAATAAAAATGTGAATGAAAAAAGCTTTGATACGACTCTTCTTGCCTGGATGAATGGTTGCAGATGACATCACTTTTAGTATAACAGAACATTTCTGGTTTTGACCTCTTTATGTTATCTTCTTTGGATACTTAAACAATAAACAAATGCTTATTTTAAAATCAGTTTTAAAATTTGGTGTATGGTCTTTTTTAAGGGAAAGAGAATGTGTACCATTTTCTTGGTCATTATGCTCCAATATTTGTCCCACTTTTATGGTTTATTTTTCTTAAGTTATTGTTTTAGGTTCTTTTGCATGCAGAGAACAAAGAAACTGGTTACCTCAACTAAGGGTGATAGCAGGGCAGCAGAATAGTGTGTGTGTATGCGTCTCTATCTCAGCTGCCTACCAAAACTGGGCGCCGTGGCTCACACCTATAATCCCAGTACTTTGGGAGGCTGAGGCAGTTCCAGACCTGCCTGACCAACATGGTGAAACTCCATGTCTTCTAAAAATACAAAATTAGCTGGGCACTGTGGCACATGCCTGTAATCCCAGCTATTCGGGAGGCTGAGGCAGTAGAATCACTTGAACCCGAGAGGCGGAGGTCGTGGTGAGCCAAGATCTTGCCATTGCACTCTGGCCTGGGCAACAAGAGTGAAACTCTGTCTCAAAAAAAAAAAAAAAAAAAAATCAAAGAAATATTGGTCTCACCTTATGACATGCATTTGATTGATTGATTGATTGATTGAGACAGAGTCTTGCTCTGTCGCCCAGGTTGGAGTGCAGTAGCACGATCTCAGCTCACTGCAAACCTCCACCTCCCAGGTTCAAGTGATTCTTCTGCCTCAGCCTCCCAAGTAGCTGGCATTACAGGCACCTGCCATCACACCTGGCCAAGTTTTGTATTTTTAGTAGAGACAGGGTTTCACATGGTTGGCCAGGCTGGTTTCAAACTCCTAACCTCAAGTGATCTGTCTGCTTTGGCCTCCCAAAGTGCTGGGATTACAGGTGTGAGCCACCATGCCTGGCCCATGACGTGCATTTTAAATATCTATTTTTTTTTTCTCTCTCTCTCCATAGGTATATAAGAATGTGACTCTGCAGGTTCCAGTGGGACTGACTATACATACCTCTTTAGTATGTTATGTGACTCTGCTCATTACAATCCTGTGCTC